TTTATCAGCTTTGTTCCAAGACTGAAAGTCAAGAAACACAGCACTGCCCCAGCTACTAAGAAGGAGAAAAAATGACTGCTGTAGCTGAACCCAGAACAATCTGTCATTGCAGCTCTGCAACAGCTCCCACTCTGTGTGATTAAAAACCTTATCTGGTTTAAGGTGGAGGTTGGTCAGCTTATGTGAGGTGTGTGTGTTTGGGCTGCCTGCAAGGACAAGGAACGAGCCTGGAGGTGGGGACAGGGCTGGCATTGGAGAAGGGGACCAATTGTTGTGCTCTTGCCAGGGCTTCCTGGACATCCTGGCAGGGCATTTGTCTGTTTCCATGTTGGGAAGGTGATCTCAGGAAGTTCACTCAGATCAAGAACAGGAGTTGTGCACAGGCAGTCCTTAGGTCTTGGTCAGAAGCTTTCTTGGCTTCTGGTTCTTACAGAAGTCTCACAGCTGCTTCTCCTTACTCATCACTGAGCCAGGCCCTGTGCTTCCATGCCACAAAGTGCTCCAGCTCACAGCCACAGGCAAGTCTTGACCCTCTCTGTTCATCTTGGGCCCATCTATTCTGCTTCTTCAGCCTCTTACACCATACTCGGAGTTCTTGTGTTACAAGAGCTGGACTTTTCCTGCTGGGAAGAGCCAGAGCCCCACATCCTGGGGGTCGCTGGCTGTTTGTGGAGACCCTTGCAAGAAGGAACCCTGGTTCCTGGCTCACACACCAGTCTTGTCCCACAGGAGCTTTCTCCCATACCCAGCCAGTATCCACTTCCAGCACTGCTCCATACAGCCATGCCCCCTACCCGCCTGGATTATGTGTCTAGTTTCCTGGCATGGAAGAAGGCTTGTTCTTTATCTTGGAGGGGCACCCTCCAGTAATGAGGACAGAAAACAAGCCACCAAAGGAGGGGCTTTGTTTTGGATGGGGATTCCAGATTGCTCACACATCGCTCAGGTGAGGCCAGGCTGGGGGAATGTGGGGTTTCTCCTTTGAAGTGGCTGGAGCTTTGCCTGGCAGCCAGAGGAGGAAATACAGATTATTATTATTATTTCCCTTTTATGACTGCCATGTGTTTGACAGGCGACTGAATTCATCGTGGGGAGCTGCCCTCCTCTCTCCTTGCTCTGGGGGACTGCTTGGGACAGAATGACTCCATTAACAATTAAGAGAAACGCCAATCCTAAATGTCTCCCTTTTTTATCATGTTGTTTAGAACCAAACAACATTCCTGCCTTCATTCCTTTATTACCCTACAGGCCTCTAGTGCAAGATGACTTGATTTTTGCAAATAACCTTGCGTAGGTTTGCAGAGATGCTGGCTGCTACAGGCTTCACTTGGTACTGTCTTTCACCCAGCCAAAAGTCCTACTGTGTGTATTCTCTCACCCTCCATCACCTACCCGTCATGTTGCACCCCATCTCTGTCACATCTGAGCAGCATCACAAAACAAGTCAATCCCAGAAGGGAGAAGCTTTGGGAGAGGGATGTGGAATATGAAATGTGGATGGCTTTTGATAGATGTGGGCAGATCTTCCTTCCCCATCAATCTCCTGGCAGGTAGGAGCAGGTTGCTCTGTTACCGGGAGGTGAACCATGGGTAGCAGAGCGTGGCAGTGCTGGAGGAATCCTGTGAGGTTTGAGGGCTTTTGAGGCTGCTGCCATTCACCCCTTGGATCTCTTGAGTTTGAATGTGTGGGTCATTCGTGCTTGTATGTGGGTTTGCTTGTTTTATTGCAATTGCAGACATTTCCTATTGGGATTCCTAGCATTGGTTGGGGCTAGAGCTGTGCCAACCTCCTCTTCAGCCCTATGGCCAGCTAGGTGGTACCTAGCCCCTGCTTTACCTATCTTCTGCCTTCCTCCTGTGCCCCAAAAGCCTCTGGTCTCTCACCCTTGCCAAACTCCTTGGCCTTCACAGCTGGAAGACGTAGCCTTTTCCTTCAGCCAGGAAGTATTTGCTCCTTTTCCTCTTGGAGCACAGTCAGGAGAGGGTTCTGAGGCTGATCTAAGGTGCATCCCCTCTGCTCTGCACAGGGCAGTGATGTTGGGGGATGGAGTGAAAGGAGCTGGGAGCTCTTATGGGTTGGCTGCCCCAGGCTGTATGTTCTTCTTAAAGAGGCTTGTTACTGGTGCTTAGAAAAACACAGCCCTTGGACCATCTGAGGCTAATAGGAGGTGAACTTGTGTGCGAAACAAACCACGCTTTCAACACCAGCACACAGGGAGCGAGCAGCTTTCCGCTCGGGAGCCAGCGGAGAAGACGAAGAGCAATTACATCCCAAACTGTTTATTAAAACTTGTGGAAATTACTCCGAACTCCATGTGTGCACCGGCTTTGTAGTTGAGTGATGCTCTTTGTTTGAACATGGGGCTCTCGAAGAGGGCGCGAGCGTGTGTGAGTGTGTGTGCATGGCTGAGCCCGCCAGCACATTATGTCATGGGCGAAGCAGGCGCTGCACTTGAGAGAGGGAGAGGGAGAAATGTGTTTTACAGGGTGAGGTACAAACTGAAATGGCTGTGAACATCTGGAACTGATATTAGGGCTTGGAAAATGTTTTCTGTCACTCCAACACTCCTCTGGAGGAAGGTTTCTGAAGTTAAGAAGCTCCAAAGGGGATGAGGGGGAGGGACGAGGGGATAATGTGACCGTGGTGCGAAGTGCTTTATATGTCTCAGTTCTGATTGCTGTAGCCAGGCCATGCTGGATGGGGGACCTGGGGTATCACTGTTGCTCATCATGGTGGCCCTGACTTAGAAGGTCCACTGAGCCCCACTGCCCGAGATGGTCCTGCGTGGGGAGCGCTTCATCCTCCAGCCTGTCATGGGTAAAAGGACAGAAGGATCCTTGCCCTTTTCTTAGGTTTGGGAGCTGAGGTGAGAGACTTCAAATGACAGATGAAGAGTGAAATCCTCAGGTGAGGTGTAAGAAGAGGCTTCTAAGCTTTATTATCTCTCAGAACATCCAGGGATCCTTTCTGCTCCTGGATCAACTCTTCCTGGATCATATTCATAAGAAGAGGTAGCCCTCATCCAGAACAGCTTGTAATTCCTGAGGAAAGCAGTAAAACAGAAACACAACCTGCTGAATAAGCTTGTTGGAGACCATGTAGACCTCAGAGCAGAAGAATGCAGATGCTGGCAACTTGGTCAGAGTCTTCTAGTATACTAGGGCCCTCTATATAGAAGAGCTGGCAGGAAGGTGTCTGGAGAATAGGCTGGCTAGAATGACGTACAGAACGAAGGGTATGATCACATAAAACCTGTGTGCAGCACCATGCCAGCATTGTAGGCTTCTCTGGAGCAATGCTGCTCTGCAGAGGAGCCTTTGATTGCACACCGTGTCTCTAAAAGAAAGAGGTCAAACCAAAAGGCTTAGTGTTTTGTGCACTTGCAAGTTGGGCTCTGAGTCGAAGCTTGAGAGTATCTTATTTATAACTTAACTCGGGTCTGTAGAGCATTGTTGTGACGTGTCTGGATGGCCGGGGCTGTATGGATATAGCTATGGCAACCGTCGCTTCCAGGACACCCTCTTGTGTACAAGCTGTGCTGCTACTGCCATGCGAAAACCAGGGATAGGCTGGAAGAGGACAAAAAACTATCTGTGCAGAACAAATCCTGTGCCTGTCAGTGAGGAGTAGGTGCAATCTCCTTACAATCAGTCTGTGCACCTATTATATGCCTTAAAATCATCTTCAGGGTCCTGACTTCCCA